AAAAGATAGTACGGTACAGAGCTGATTAGTTGACTCTACTACCGACCAACTTTGTGAAAGGATGTCTGTTCATGAATAGGCTTTTGTACTATTCACTGTAGCAAAGGACAAGTCTTTCTCTAAAGGCTTGACACGTATTCTAAACTTACCATGTTGCATTAAATGTGCATTTAATGCAATGGGTATAAATAGATGTGTTCTATCTCCATGCAGAGATATACTCTACACTCTTAACTTACTTTTGAACCTTAACTCTAGTTCATAAGTAAAGGAACACACATCTAAGAACACAATACGCTCATCTTCAAGAGCAAGTTAGAATCCCTTTATTGTATTCTAAATAGTTCTCTCCCAGATAGAACTTACTTTCTTCAAAGTCTTTTACAGCAAATCTTTTCCTTCATTTGCTAAGAACTAGTGTATAACTTTAGATTGTTTAGATAAGTTTTGTTTACCTTATCTTTCCGCAAACAATCTTGTAAAATATGTATTGATCTTTTTTTTTATCAATATATATTTAAATTTGAAAAGTTTACTGTGTTTGTATTCATCCCCCCCTTCTACAAATTGTTATACACATCTTGTAGACCCTAATGGGACCAACACAACTGGCATAGAAATAATTGGTATGGTACCTATTGTATATCTGATTTTCTTGAGAAAAGATCAAAAGTGAAAATTTCTGGTTTGAACAGTTGGTATGGCACATACAACATACCCCGAACTAAAGCTAACAAATTAGGACCCATGAAGGTATGGGTACCAAAATCTGTCTAATCTGTTTTACAGGTTTATCATGTGTAGTGCTGAATTTAGATATTCCAACACATGATAAGTCAGATGCTTGGTTTGAGGGGGAGTGTATAGATATTTGTACTATATTAGTTTCTGAACATCTTAGTTCAGGACCTGTTCTTCACATTAGCTTTTGAACAACTCAGTTCAGAACCTATGCTTAACTGATTTCAGGGAGTACACGAGTAGCAAAGGCTAGAAAGAGTCGAATTGCTTCGAGTCTAGCCACCGGTGCCAAGGTTTCGTCATAGTCGATCCCTTTTTCTTGTCTGTAACCCAGAGCAACAAGACAAGCCTTGTTTCTGGTCACAATTCCTTATTCATCCAACTTATTAAGATAAACCCACTTAGTGTCTCTCAAAGTTTTGTCAGATGGATGTGGGATAAGGTACCAGACATGGTTCCTATCAAATTCAATGAGTTCCTCTTGCATGGCAATGACCCAACAAGGGTCTGAGATAGCCTTATTGATCTTCTTGGGCTCAACTAAAAAGAGAAACTTGACAAAAAGACAAATATTACCTAGACCACGATCTGTTTGAATACCTGCAATGAGATCACTAAGAATTTGATGTATTGGATAGTCTTTAGTCCATCGTTGAGCTGGTAGAGGATGATCATATGAGATTGGAAGCTCAGGTATAAAAGATGAGGCTTCAGCAACAGATTCTTCAACAATATGTTGGATTGCTAAAGGAGTCTCACTGAGCGATTCAGCAACTGATAGAGGCTCAAAAACTAAAGGATTTTCAGTGACTGAAGGGTCAGTTTTGAAGTAGAAGGAGGTAAGTAACTAATGGGCACCGCAGCTATCCCTTAAGAGGATTCGCCTTCGTTATTAGTCACATCCGGAATGATAAATGGATCTTCATCAGCTTCTGGAGGTTCAACACTGGTTGATTGCTGAAGGAAGCTTTAGGTTGTTCATAGTGAGATATCATCCAGTTTTCTAACTCTTCATCATCATCAGAAATGGGTTTAGAGTTAGCTGATTGAGATTCATCAAAGGTGACATAGATAGTTTCTTCTATTGTTTATCATCGTTTGTTGAATACTCTGAAGGCTTTGGATACTGAAGAAAATCCAATAAAGATTCCTTCATCAGCTTTGGGATTGAACTTTCCAAGTTGATCTCTATTGTTAAGAACGTAAAAAGTGCAACCAAATATGTGAAGAAAGCTGAGAGAGGGCTTTCTGCTATGGAAGAGTTCATAAGTTGTTTTCTTGAATCTCTTGAGGATTAGCTACCGAATTTGAGTAAAACAAGTAGTGTTGACAGCTTCAGCCCAAAATTGAGTAGGGAAATGAGATTAGTTGAGCATGGATCGAGCAGCCTTAATGATTGTTCAATTTCTTCTTTCAGTGACTCCGTTTTGTTGTGGAGTTCTCACAGATGAAAAGTTGTGTGAGATTCCCTTGTTCTTAAAGAAGTCATCAATAGTATTGTTTTTGAACTCAGTACCATGATCACTCCTTATAGACCGTACTTTGATGTTGTTTAGTACTTCTACGCGTTTGATGAACGATATGATTTCTTTAGGTGCATCACTCCTAGATCTGAGAAAGAAGACCTAAGTGTACCTGGAATACTCATCAACAATTACAAGTGTATATTTCTTTCCAGATATAGATTGCACGTTGACTGAACCAAAGAGATCCATGTGCAATAGCTGAAGTGGAGAGATCACTAAAGAGACTTGCCTAGATTTGAAGCTAGCCTTTTTCTGCTTTCCTTTTTCACACGCTGAGCAAAGAGATTCCTTTGCAAAGGAGTGTTAAGGAAGGCCAGTGACAAGATATTTTCGAAACAGCTCATTCAACATCAACTATTCTTAGTTAAAATATAATCCATGTTGATGACATACAAGTTCTGTAGACCAGAGCCTGTAAGAGCAACCTTGTCATCTTTGTCAAGGACATAACATGAGTTCTTAGAAAATTTCACTGTGAAATATTTATCACACAGCTGACTGATGCTAAGAAGATTGTGCTTCAGTCCTTCAACATATGCAACACGTTTGAATGTAGTTACACCATTGGTTAGTATACCAAAACCTTTGGTATATCCTCTTCGTTTCCTACAAAGGTTACATAAGGACATCTTTCATCTTGATATCCAGTGAGTAGGTGATTTTCTCTAGCCATACGTCTTGAGCATCCACTATCAAGATACCAAATACCTTTGACTTCCTGCACAAGAAAACAGATTAAGATTGCTTTGGTGCCCCATTTTTCAATGGGTCCAACGGAGTTAGAGGCAACATCCACCGACGCTGAAGACTCAGGGTCAGCAGGTGTCTTCGCTGAGCCTGAAGAAGAGGCTTCAGTGGACATCTTCACCTTAGTTGTTTTCATAACTTTGGTGGCATATTTCTCCTTGGTTGATTTTTCAGCCTTGGCTACTTTCTTTACCTTAACTGGCGGACCAACTTTGGTAGCTATAGAACACTTACTGGCAATATGTGTAGTTTCACCACAGTATCTACACTACCTATAGCTGAAGCCAGCTTTAGGACCAGAGAGGTCCAAGGGAATGGAAGAGGGACAAGATCCAATGATTCCCTTATCATTTGTTCGAGGAGGAACAACAGAGGGTTTGGATACCTTGGGTGAAAGATTCACTTTAAGCTTTGGCTAGGTTTCTGAGTGTATTCAGATACCTTGGTCCCTAAAGAAGAAGAAGGTGCACAAGATGAAGGTTTAGATCTGGGTCTATTTGACTTTTTGGCCTTCTTAGGAAGAGGAGTGATGATAATGGATTTACCTTTGTCATTGCATCTTGAACTCGAAGGAGTTCTTTTAAGATGACTCTCAGTGAAAGAAGAATGAGAGGAAGAAGCATCGGGAATGGAAGAGACAAAGGTGCCAAAATTTAGCATGGACCTGTCAGTGACACAGTCTTCTTGGTCATAAGAGAAACCTAGACCAATCTTTATCTTAGCAGGGATCTAAGCGTTATTGATCTCAAAGGCCTTAATGTAGGCTTTACACCACCCTTCAATGGTAACTTTCTCAGCCTTGAGTTCAGCAATAGCTTGCTCACGCTCAGCTATAGCCTGTTTTGGTTTACAATGACCAGATCCTTAAGATTTTCTTCAATCTTAGTCAGCTCTTTGATCTTAGAATGACATCTCTCTAATTGTTCTTGAAGATCAAGATTAAGAATTTTAGCTTTGGATTTTCTATTCAGGGCATTGTAAAGGTCAATCATCAACATATCTAGCGCATATAGGCTATTAGAGGCAGAAGAAGAAGGTTCATTCAGGAGCATACCTGAGTAGATGTAGATGATGAGGGATCACTGGCGGATGATGTCTCTGATGGTTCATCTTTGACATCCTTGGCCATTAGACAAAGATAGATCGTATCTTCCTCATCAGAGGATGATTCTTTAGTAGAATCAACACAATCATGTTCTTCTGTGATATGATCTTTGCATTTACGATGAGAACTCTTCATCTTCTTATACTTCTCCTTCAGCTTTAGATATTTGTCATCTCCAGACCTGAAGGAGAATGGGGGTTTGGAAGATGGCGTCACAGTCTTCTTAGACCTCCATTCACTTACAAAGTGACCTTTGCATTGACAGTTGTAGCAGATTGCTGAAGCCTTGTCAATAGGATTTGACTTTGGCTTTTCAGAAATGGTCAGCGAAGGAGACCTGCGGAAATTACTCTTTCTGGCAAACCTTCTAAAAGATTTAGTTAGAAGGTCCAGTGACTCATCAAACTCTGAAAGATTGATATCTGACCAGTCCTCAGAGTTAGTAGGATCGAACTCAGTTAAAGAAATAGAAGAAATAGGAGGGTTAGAATAATTAGAAGGGTCAGTTGAAGGACTTTCAGAGATCAAAGCTAACAGAGAGTTTTTCATTTACCTAGAATCTTTAAGAAGATTATTCTTCAGCTTATGGTACTGACCATGATTGAGTAGTATCCCATAAAGAGAGCTAAGAAAGAGGGAGGACATGTCCTTGGACATTGATAAGCATGGTTTATTACATGCTTAAAGTACCCATTTCCTTTGTTTAATAGGTAGATTCTTCTAGTTTATCCCAATCTTGAGTCATTTTCACTTTATTTCCATTTTCATTGAGGGATCAGGCAAAAACATAGTTTAACTCTTTAATACCGGGATCTGTGCCGTCTTGGAGTAACATGGCGGAATTGTTTTTGCGAATATATTTCCCACCAACAAGGAACACTAAGTCCAGAAATGAGATATGTCTTTTCAAACAACTGGATGATGAAGCTGTTCCTGATGCATAGGAAAGGTTCAAAGAGCTGTTTAGAAAATTTACACACCATGGCATTCCGTATTGTATTCAACTTGAGACATTTTACAATGGGTTAAGTCCCATGGAAAAACAAATGCTCGACGCGACTGCAGGCGGTGCTTTTACAGCCAGTACCTATAATGAGGGATATGAAATCCTAGAAAAGATATCAGCAAACAATGGGCATTGGGCCGACCCATGTGCCCAGCCACAGAAAAAGATTGCTGAAATACATGAGGTGGATGCATATACTGGATTAACAGCTCAGCTTACCTCCATGACCAATTTATTGAAAAACTTAACTTCTGGTCAGGGAGTACAGCAAGCTGCTAACACATCTGTTCCAACAGTCCTATTTGTGCAGTGTGTGTGCTGTGGTGGGGATCATTCGTATGAACATTGTATTCATAATTCTGAATCAGTAAATTATGTTCAAAACAGATCTATTCCCTACTCTAACACATAATGCCAGTTGGAGATAGCACCCGAATTTTTCTTGGAACAGTCCTAGTCTTAATCCACCAGTCTATAAACAACAAGGAACTTCTAATTTCCAACAAGAACATCATGCAAACAGTTCTATCTCTCAGAACCATCAACAAAGTTTTCAGAATTCTCAGCCACATTTTCAGAACAAACCTCCTCCACAAGCAGGATCATCATCTTCTTTGGAAGCAATGATAAAAGGGCTTTTAGCACATGCTCAAGCCCAAAATCAAGCTTTGATTAATCAACAAAGTGCTGCCATCAGGAATTTAGAGACTCAGGTCAGTCAACTTGTACTTAACCAGAGCAGTCGAGCCCTTGGTACCTTGCCCAGTAATACAGAAGTCCCTAGAGATCTTGGAAAGGATCATGTGAAAGTAGTGACTCTTATGAGTGGGAAGGAGTTGACAGAAAAAGTACAAAAAAATAGTACACCAAGACTGTCAGAAACCAGTAATCTAGTATCGGTCCCTTTCAAAGAAGGACCGGTCCCACCTTTAGAAAAGCAAGCATCTGAGACCACCACTCTTGTTCCCCCTAGATCAGACTACCCTTTACTTTTTCAGAGGAAACTCTGAAGAAATCAGAAGGGACTGAGGTTGTAGAGACCCCTAAGCTTGATAGCAAGAGTCCTTCTGAACCCATAAAGAGCACCACAAAGACTCAGGGCATTCAAGACCCATCCTGCTCAACACCTCCAAGCAAGAATGTGATAAAACCAATCCCTCCTTATGTTCCTTACCCCCAAAGGTTGAGGAATCAGAAAGAGGAATTGCATTTAAGAAATTCTTGGATGTGTTTAAAGAATTGCATATCAACATACCTCTTGTTGAGGCAATTGAGCAAATGCCTAGTTATGTTAAGTTTCTGAAGGACATCTTAAGCAAGAAGAAGAAGTTGACTGAGTATGAGACTGTAGCTCTTACCGAAGAATGTAGTGCACTTTTGACCAATAGCATACCCCCTAAGCTCAAAGATTCAGGGAGTTTTACCATTCCTTGTTCAATAGGTGGGAAGGAGATAGGGAAAGCCCTATGTGACTTAGGAGCTAGTATCAACCTCATGCCTTTGTCTGTCTTTAACACCTTAGGCATAGGAGAGGCTAGACCCACGACAGTTACACTCCAGTTGGCAAATAAATCCATTGCATACCCTAAGGGAAAGATTGAAGATGTGTTGGTGCAGGTTGATAAGTTCATATTTCTGGCATATTTAATCATATTAGACTTTGAGGCTGATAAGGACATTCCGATTATTTTAGGGAGACCTTTCTTAATCACTAGAAGAACTTTGATAGATGTCTAGAAAGGAGAGTTGACCATGAGGCTTCAAGACCAAAAGGTCACATTTAATGGCTTCAACTCCTTAAAATATCCAGATTATCTGGAATAATGTTCAAGCATAGCTGAAATAGAAGAAGAGGTTGTTGAGGAAGGAATTTAGGAAAACCTTAAGTTGGAAGAAGAGAGTGTAGAGAAATTAGAAGAAGAGATTGTTGAGGAAGTAGAGGCAATAGAAAATGATTCTACACCAGTAGAGGTGTCAGCTTTTGAACTTTTGGAGAATAATGAGAAAAAAGACTTCACCCCGTCCATTGTGTCACCACCTGACCTGGAGTTAAAGCAACTCCCATCCCATATAAAATTTGTTTTTCTAGGAGAAGAAGGTAAATTGCATGTCATTATCTCATCTACCCTAGACTTGCATCAAGAGAAGAAACTAGTGGATATGTTGAAATTGCACAAAAAGGCTCTAGGATGGACCATTGCTGACCTTAAAGGGATTAGTCCCTCAATTTGTCAACAAAAGATCGTCTTAGAGGATAAAAACTTCACATCCATAGAACCTCAAAGAAGGCTGAATCATGTCATGAAAGAGGTAGTAAAAAAGAGATTTTGAAATGGTTAGATGCAAGAATTATCTTCCCGATAGCCAGTAGTCTTGGGGTAGCCCGGTCCAGTGTGTTCCAAAGAAAGGAGGGTTCACAGTCATCACAAATGAGAAAAATGAACTTATGCCCACCAGAGTTGTATCCGGTTGGAGAATATGCATGGACTATAGGAGACTAAATAAGGCTACTCATAAAGACCATTTTCCGCTACCTTTCATTGATCAAATGTTGGATAGATTAGCCGGCAAGGAGTACTATTATTTCTTAGATGGCTATTTAGGTTACAATCAAATAGCTATTTCTCCCGAGGACCAGGAAAAAACCACCTTCACCTGTCCTTATGGAACTTTTGCTTTTAGAAGGATGCCATTTGGACTGTGTAATGCTCTTGCGACCTTTCAGAGGTGTATGATGTCCATATTTTCAGATATGCTTGAAAAATTCATTGAAATCTTTATGGATGATTTTTCTGTATATGGTTCAACTTTTGACAACTGTTTGGACAATTTAAAAAAGTCTTGAGAGGTGTGAGGAAACAGACTTGGTCCTCAACTGGAGAAATGTCACTTCATAGTTAAGGAAGGAATTGTTTTGGGACACTTAATCTCTAAAAAAGGAGTGGAGGTAGATAAAGCAAAACTCGAAGTAATTGAAAAACTACCAGAACCTACCACTGTTAAAGGAATCAGGAGTTTTTTTGGGTCATGCGTGATTTTACAAAAGGTTCATAAAGGATTTTTCAAAAATTTCAAAACCTTTATGTTTACTCTTACAACATGACCAAAAATTCGATTTTAATGATGAATGTAGAAATGCATTCAAAACTTTGAAGAAAGCCCTGATTACTTCACCAGTGGTAGTTGCTCCGGATTGGAACAAACCTTTTGAGATTATGTGTGATGCGAGTGATTGGGCGGTTGGTGCTGTTTTAGGTCAGAGAAGAGAGAAGGTGTTTCATTTAATTTATTACGCAAGTAATATTTTGAATGAAGCACAGATAAATTAGACAACCACGGAAAAAGAATTATTGACCGTAGTATTCACATTTGAGAGATTTAGATCATACTTGATGGGGACTAAAGTGATTGTGCATACCGATCATGCAGCCATTAAGTATTTGATCTCAAAGAAGGATGCAAAACCTAGGATGATAAGGTGGGTGTTGTTATTGCAGGAATTTGATTTGGAAATTCGTGACCGGAAAGGTGTGGAAAACCATGTAGCAGACCATTTATCTAGGTTAGAGAAACCTGAGATAGGGGAGGAGATATTATAGAGACCTTCCCGGATGAGAGAATCTTGATGGTGCAACAACAAAAAGCACCTTGGGTTGCGGATATAGCAAATTTCTTAGTTTGTGACATCAAACCGTCTGAATAAACAAGCCACATGCTTAAGAAAAATTTTCATGATGTCAAATCTTATTTTTGGGATGACCCATTTTTGTTTAAACTTGGTGCAGATCGGCTTTTAAGGAGGTGCATTCCAGAATCTAAGGTTGCAAAAGTGTTGTATCAGTGTCACCAAGCTCCTTATGGAGGACATTTTGGAGGACAGAGAACTGCTGCCAAGGTTCTACAGTTTGGTTTCTATTGGCCTACTCTCTTCACGGATTCCCATAACTTTACACAAGGATGCAATGAATGCCAAAAGAGTGGGTCCATTTCTAAAAGAAATGAAATGCCACTACATGGGATCCTGGAAGTTGAGTTATTTGATGTATAGGGAATAGATTTTATGGGTCCTTTCCCCCATCAAATAACTGCCAATACATTCTGGTTGCTGTAGATTATGTCTCAAAATGGGTAGAAGCTGTGGCATGTGTTCCAAATGATGCCAAGACTGTGGTTAAGTTCCTCCAAAAGCAAAATTTTGCACGGTTTGGTATCCCCAGAGCTCTAATAAGTGATAAGGGTACCCATTTTATAAATAATTTGTTGAGTGGAGTTCTTGCAAAATATAATGTTACACATAAAATAGCCACAGCTTATCACCCATAGACAAATGGCTTAGCAGAGTTGTCCAACAGAGAAATAAAAAGTATTTTGGAAAAGATTGTCAAGCCTAACAGGAAGGATTGGGCATTCAAGCTAGATGATACTTGTTGATCCTCTC